ATAGAGTATGACAGATTAATAAATGATGTGCTATAGGTTTCTAATATTGCTGAAATTCTACATACATATATGAATGTTTTATCTATTATTGTTATTTTACTGATGTTGCGTTATATGCATTGTTAGTTGTGTAATTTAGTAATGACGTTGTGATGCGTCAAGGGCTGAAGATAGAGCATTTGAAAGCTTTTTAACAGTATGTTTAGGAAGCACTGAGCGTGACTGCGCATTATGCAAATTAAGCATAGACAAGCGCGCTTCTTTCTTCTAAGCATGTGAACATTTGATAAGCAGCTGATTGCAATGAAATTGAGAAGAAATGACCTATTTATAGCAGGAGTTAGTTCATGGTGCTGCGCGTGATCAATTTTGCAATCGAAAGCAAAGCACATCTTAATCGACAAACTTTTAAGTCAGAAGGTACTGGTACATGCTAGAGTAACGGGATTATTTTTTTGATGCTATTATGTTCTGAGTATTGATAGATCTAAAATGTGGTTAGAATTTCATTGTTAGTCATGTACATCCACCAGATGAAAATTATTGTGCGCATCGTTGTTTTTGTTACTACTTTGATGTTTCTGTAGTTGAAATGATCAAACAAATTGGAATATTTTGTTGAGACGGCTGCTGATAATGATGGGAGGGACCGGCGTTCTCCAGAGATTCTAAATAAGTGAAATTCTCTGATCTCTGTAAAAAACGTTTTACAAAAAACCTAAGTATTGAAAAATCCAATGTAAAATCCAGTAGCTCTTGATTGTTCTCAATTCTCGCGCACGGAAAATGAAGAGTTCGTATTTTTCTGAAATCTTATTCTCCGTGTTTTATATTTTGATATAGCAATACACGCACACTGACACATACACATTGAAATTGTGGTCGAAAGTGCGACCAAAGTGTATGCATATCTCTATGTTGTTTTATGCTTTTTTATCTATCTGCTCTATGTTTTTCACAAGAAAAAGAGAACAGAGAACGTAGAACGGAAGGAGATGAATAATAATAAATATCGAAGGCTACTTTGCTTCTCCTTTATTTCTGTGACCTAAATAGTTTAAAAACGCAAATATAGCATATAAAGCATTTTAATTACATCATATTTGAAGTATTAAAAATATTCTTAAAAAAAATATTTTTACACCGGGGTAAGCAAACTCAGAGTGAACTTTCATTGTCCATTTTTTATCGAGATTTTTTGTCGAAGAGAAAAGAAATGCTATTATGGTGCATGGAGAAATGCGCATCTCATATTTATTTTACTCTTTTTTCATAATGCATTACACATCGCGAATCCAACACGAAATCAAAAGTATTTTTTCTTCATCTCGATAAGAACTCAAATTATAAAGAAATAGGTTTTTTTATAAGATGAGACGTTTCTGAAACTAGTCGAACTTTCTGTCATACGCGTATTACAAGAATTTCTGACATCAGTACAGAGCAAACATATCGCATTTCTCTCCTTAAACAAAGCCTTTCTATACAAAACCGGTTTGGTTTAAACGATTTAAAGTAACTTGTCAAGAGAAGGATGATTTGCAGATTCGTTTGAAAACTAAGATCGTTCGCAGGTTTGCTGAAATTCTCACATGTTTTTGGGCTCGTTTTTACGACAGTTTCTTGGCTCTATCTGTTACAGGGATGTCTGCACTCTAAAAAATGTGGGTAGATCAAATAAGGGAAAGGGGTTTTTCATTTTGAAACGACCACGAACCTTTTTTGGTTTATGAAAATAGCCTAAAAACGGCCAAAAATCTTTCAAACAACCCATAACGGTAGATTAATAAATCAAACATAAATAAAGCATTTATTAATCTACTGTTATGAGTTTTTTGGCCGTTTTTAGACTATTTTCATAAACCAAAAAAGGTTCGTAGTCGTTTCAAAATGAAAAACCCTTTTTCGTTTTTTGATCTACATTTTTTAGAGTGCAGATCGATCTGTCTCTTATGGACTATAAAAATCCGCTTTTTTCTACTTGTACAATGTATATACTTCTATATTTTGTGTCTACACAGCGTGAATCTTCGGATACTATTGTTCTTTTTCATCTATAATAGCATGTGTAATAAACCATTCTGTCTATAGCCTGAGACTCATATTATTATACGTTATTTTGTATTTACTTCCAAGGTCGTATTCTTATCTTTGTTTTCTTTTTTTCTCTTCTGATACAACCATCAGTTATAGCTATTTAACCCGCATATATTTAAAAAAGTCTTTCTGTAATTAATTAATTTTGTTTCAATTTTTATTATTACGCAATTTACTTCATGTTACATTTCTGAACCTTTGAGTTACCGGGAAAAAGTCAGCTGGAACGTTCGTCACCTATACTTTCGTCAATTGACGAAAGTTGGACAATACTTTCGTTACTGACCAAAATCTTGTCTGACTTTTGTCAACTGACCAAAGTCCGTCGTACTTTGATCAGATGACGAAAGTACTGTCAGACTTTCGTCAGTGGCAACAGTATCGAGTTGTACTTCAGTCAATATTCCAATTGGAACCATCTAATCGATGTTGAATGAAGTTGAGAATGGTACATTTCTGCAGTGAACTTTCATCAATTGTCAAAGGTACAGCCACACTTTCGTCAACTGACCAACGTAAGATGGACTTCAGTCAGTTGACAAAAGTCAGACAAAACTTTGGTCAGTGACGAAAGTACTTGTCGGACTTTCGTCAATGACAAAAGTATTGGTGACGAACGTTCCAGTTGACTATTTTCCAATTCCCCGAATCTTTTAGTAAGACTTTTACTTTGTGCTCTGTTTTCTACATTTCTTTATGCTCATGCTCAAACTTTAACGAGATGAACCACAATATTATCTTAGCCACTGTTATATCTATACAATTTTTTTGTTTTTGGTAATATGATGTACTCTAAGATATATTATGTAGCAAAACTAAATAATCATACACTGTCAAGAAATTCTGCTAACCTAGATCAAAGAATCGTACTCGATTGTATGAGATCTTACGAGAAGTAAGGAATTATATGATTCGTACTGTAGGATCGTATGATTTCTTATAGTACGTTTTTGGTACCGGTCTGATTAAATGCCGGTGAGGTATTTCGTATGAAATCATGCAGTATGATTCGTATAAAATTGTTTGGTAAAAATCGTATGTGATCTTGTGATCATATGATTTGAGTCGAAATTGTACTCTTCATCAATCAATTGTACTCTTCAAATCATTTTTTTGCTTTTTCTACGATTTATACTTGAAATGTTAAAAAAATCTGAATTTCGAATTCAAATGACTTTTTTAATGTTAGAAGTATATTGCTGTAGAAAATTTACTTTAATTTCATAGCATTTTCACGCTTTACTTTCATAGCAATAAGCACACTAGCTGCTTAGCAGCACCATCTACTATCCTCGCGATGTTGTGCAACCCATTTATTTGTTTTTGTTCTTTCTTTAAATTGAGTTCTGATTATTTGATAACACAGTTTTAGTATGACATTCAGGATTCAGAAGATTATAAGGTTAAGGAAGCCTTTCCATTTACTGCCAGTAGGTTTTTAACTTGAACGCTATGTTTATAGGAATTTAGTTAGTCTGATGACAAGATCTGCGCCCGAAGCTTCGCGTAAACGTACTTTCGAAAGTTGGATTGAGGTGAGTCAGAGCTGCGCGGAGCATAGCAGCGTATAAAAGAAGAAATCACCTTCTGTAGAATTCTCCAAAAGAATGTCTTAAGATACATTTTTTCACACTTACTCTTGAAAGGACTCTTTCTCTTACTCTGTTTTCGGCTCTCCATAATTTTTGTGTACGGAATAAGCACATTTTTACATCACAATTCACATTTTTTTTGTAATGCTCTGTTTGGTGATTTTTCTTTTTAAGAAATTTATGTTATTTTATTCTTAAATTCTTTTTTCTGTTTTGATGTGATATGATTTATCTGAGACAAAGAGAAATGAAAACCACCTGCGTTCAGACACAATTACTAGGTCATAATTTCGAGTTACTACTCGTACAAAATTGATTTTCTGTTCTGTTCTAATACTTTCAATTTTAGAATACTATAAGAGTATCTATCTTGTTTGTATTTTAAAGGATAAAGCTTAGGCTATCTATACAGCTTAAAATCGTTTCATCGAGTTTGAACATGTTTCATAAGGTATCTAGTACTCAAAGTATTTCGTGCAAAACAATACGTCTTTATTCGTTCTGATAATTTATTTTTGAGACAAAACACAATGTTTTATTGTTTTATCGATCCATCACCTTGCTTCACAACATGAAGTAAGCAAATAAAATAGCAGCTAGTATAGAAAAACGAAAACGGATCTTTCTTCTTCTATACACAGTTTCAGTTGTTTATTATTTTCATTGTAAATGGTATTAACAGTTGTGAAGCATACACTAAACGAAGGAAATAAACATATGTGACAGTGAAATTTTCTCTTGCGGGATGACGTGACAATTACTATTTTTTAAACCCATTTTTTGTAAACATTCCAAATAGAAGTGAGCAAAAAATAATTATTAACACTGAATAAAAGCCTAACTAAGATTCGACAGCTTGTTCTAAGTGTATATCTCGTCGGAGTTTCTTTTCAATATTGTTTCAATGAGGCAATATTTTATCCAAATTACTGTATAGGACGAACTACAAAGACTCTTAGTGTAAATTCTTAGCAATCTGTTTTCAATTAATACTATTAAAAGAAATAAAGAGTTTCTATAATAAACATTGTTTTAATTTCTCTCTCCTGATCGCTGAGGTGAATGAGAGTACTCAGCTGTATACAGATTGTGATAATTACTCTAAGTGCAAGCTGTTAAAAATGACGCATGCGTGAGTTAATAGTTATGATTTTCAGTTTTTTAGCGGAATATTTTACATTAAAATATAAAAGCTGTCGAGTAATAAGACTCTAGAAGTCTGACGTAACTTTGTAACGTTGTTTGAGAAATAATTCTTCTACGCTTTTTTCTTCTTATTCTTTTTAGTTTTATTAAATCAACTCAATAATAATGAGTAGTAAAACAAGTGATGAAGGTGAAGTATCGCCAAATGAAAAACAAAATGAAGCTAGTGGCACCGATCATCATCATGATCAAATAGTTGCAAATCCAAATTCGTCACATGAAAAAGATACGGGACATGGAGGTAAAAGAAACTTTTACAAATAACTTTCACACTGTTTAGACCACCAAGAGTCGAAAGTCTATTTGTTTCTTTTCATCTTATATATAATATTTAATTTCAATTTTAGATGATGAATCAGTTATTGAAAGCGAACAACATACCCACGATAACCCAAATGAAGCCAATCATAAAGTTGAACAATTCATAACTGATGGTGATCAAGTAACACATAATACCGAAGAAACTCAAGCCAGTGTGGATCATCAACAAATAGTATCATCACAGCCGACTACAACATCAACAAGCGATCAGCATGAAGACGTATCAACAACAACAACAACAACAACGACTGATTATCAGAATCTTCCAGTAGTTGATCTTAATGCTCCAGTTTCAGTTGACGAAGAGAAAACCAAAGATGAAAACGAGACATTAAATGAAATAGAAAAATCATCAACGGAATTAGTTCAGGATACACAAGAAAAAGTTGAAGAAAGGACAGATGACATTAAAGGTTTGAATTGTTTATTGGACAATTTTTGTTTTGTCTACTCTATCATACTAAATTCATCGCAAACTACATATGCAAGGTTTTGGAACACTGAGAGTAGTCAATCTTCGTTTCGTTGAATTGTTTACGTGTATCTCACTTTTTGATGTAATATACACGCGATAAATCCAAAACAAAATATTTTCAAAAATAACGAGTTGTTTCCGTAACGTCTCAACTGAGATACAATCCATATTTTAATCAAGTATCTCAGCTGAGAAACCATTATTTCTGCGAAAATATTCGTTTCTCAACTGAGATACATTTGATAAAATATGGACTTCGCGAATTTTTCAACTGAGTTACAATTTTGATACGTGCGTTGAAACG